CAACTAAGTTTGGAATGAGGACCACTGAGGTTGCTGGCTAGGCTGTGTCATAAAAAAACACAGCACCACCTGGTGTCCCAGCAATATATTGCAACATATTGTCATCAAGAACAAGGACTTCTGTTTATTTGACCATGAGGAAGAGTTTGGCTTTGCTCAGGCTGAGGCCTCTTCAAGACCTAAGCTCTAAGATAAGGTAATTTGAAACAAAGGAGGCAGTGAGAAGGAAAAAGAAGGACAAGGAGGTGAACAGGAAGAAACAATACATGAGAAGGAACCAACAGAAAAATTCAGGCAATATGAAAAACCAAAAAAGATGAACTCCTTTAAGGGACCATGAGGCAGCTACTGCAGAGGACTCCACTTAAAAGGAATTAATGGATTTCACAGAAAGGAAATTTAAAATATGGATGATAAAGACAATAACAGAAATGGACAAGAAAATGGAAAGACAGAACCGAAAGTCAGACAAGAGATATGTAGAATATAGAAAGGATATGGACAGAGCTTAAGGAAATGAAGGAGACAATCATGGAATGTAACGATGTAGTAGAAAGTATCAAAAATAGATTAGACCATGGAGAAGAAAGAACCTCAGAGCTAGAGGATAAATTTTTTGAGTTGACTCAGGTAGTTAAAGAGGCAGAAAAGAAGAGAGAGAAAGCAGAATAGGCACTTAGAGAACTATGAGATTCATGAAGCTTTCAAACATAATGAATAATAGGGATTCCTGAAGAGAGAAGAAGATTGTCCCAAAGGAATGGAAGCCCTACTGGAAACTATCATAAGTGAATACTTCCCAAGTTTTACTAAAGACCCCAACATACTCCTTTCAGATGGATATCAAACTCTGGGTCATCTCAACTCAAACAGAGCCTCTCCAAGACACATTGCAATGAACCTGTCCAAAGTCAAGATGAACGAAAAAATTTCCCAAGCAGCCAGGAATAAGCGCCAACTGATCTACAGAGGCAGAGCCATTAGAATGGCAGCAGATTTTTCAACTGAAATCTTCCAAGCCAGAAGAGGATGGCCATCCACCTTCAACATTATTAAACAAAACAATTTGCAGCCCAGAATTCTGTATCCTGCTAAATTAAGCTTCAACACTGATAGAGAAATCAAATCTTTTGTGGATATACAAGCACTGAGGAAATTCGCCACAACAAGATCCTCTCTACAGGAAATACTCACATCTATTCTCAATACTGAACATCATAATGGACCACCAGCAAAGTAAATACCCAGAAGCTAAAGGTCAAAACTCAGCTTCCATAATGGCACAAAGAATAAAATTATATAATGGACTCCCACAAAATAATATGAATAGAACTCCACCACACTTATCAATTCTCTCAATAAATTTTAATGGGCTGAATTCACCACTGAAGAGGCTCAATCTGGTTAATTGGATGAAAAAGTACAAGCCATCCATATGTTATCTCCAGGAGACACACCTAGCCTTGAAAGACAAATTAAGACTCAGAGTTAGGACATGGAAAACCGTATTTAAAGCAAATGGAAATCAGAAGAGGGGCTGCAATCTTATTTTCAGATACAAGTAGATTTAAAGCAACTAAAGTTAAGAAAGACAAAGATGGACATGTTATACTGGTCCGAGGAACAATACAACAAGAAGACATCTCAATTTAAAAAATTTATGACCCAACTTCAATGCTCCCAGATTTATGAAATGGACTTTGAGGGGTCTGAGCAATATGATATCGTATAACACCATAGTAGTCAAGGACTTTAACACCCCTCTGACAGAACTGGACAGATCCTCTAAATAGAAACTAAACAAAAGTACAAAAGATTTAAATGTGACCCTAGACCAAATGGGATTAATAGACATGTACAGAACACACCATCCCTAAGCTAAAGAATATACATTTTTCTTGTCAGTCCCTGGTACATACTCCAAAATCAGCCACATCTTAGGACACAAATCAAACTTCAGCAAAATTAAAAGAATAGAGAGTATACCTTGTATCTTCTCAGACCACAAGGCAATAAAGGTAGAACTCAACTCCAAAAAAAAATATTCATCCCCACATAAACCCTTGGAAATTAAACAACCTTATGCTGAATGATAGTTGGGTTCAGGAAGAGATAAAAGAGGAATGTGTTAAATTCTTCAAACATAACAACAATGAAAACACAAGTTACCAAAACCTATATGATACAGCAAAAGCAGTCTTAAGAGGGAAATTTACTTCCATGGATGCCTACATTTGAGAAAAAAGAAATGTCTCAGGATATAAAATCAATGTCCACAAATCAGTAGCCATTGTATATGCCAACGACAGCCAACATGAAAAGCTAATCAAGGACACAATTCCCTTCAGTAGCTTAAAAAAACTGAAAAACCTAGGAATATACACAACAAAAAAGGTGAAAAACCTCCACAAAGAAAATTATGAAACCCTAAGAAGAGAAACAGCAGAAGATATTAACAAATGGAAGAACATACCATAATCATGGCTGGGAAGAATCAACATGGTGAAAATGTCTATACTACCCAAAGCAGCCTACAGAGTCAATGCAATCCCCATTAAAATATCATCATCATACTTTCAAGAATTAGAAAAAATAATTCTTCATTTTTTATAAAACCAGAAAAAACTGTGTACAGTGAAGGCAATTCTTAGTAATAAAAACGAAGCCAGGAGTATCAACCTACCAGACTTTCAGCTATACTATAAGGCTGTAGTGTTCAAAATAGCATGGTATTGGAACAAAAGTGACATCATAGCTTCTATTGGAACCAAATAGAAAGCTATGAGATGCAACTAACAACTTACAGCCACCTGATCTTTGATAAACCAAACAAGAACGTACACTGGGGAAAAGAATCCCTACTCAATATATGGTGCTGGCAGAACTGGATAACCACATGTAAAAGACTAAAACTGGACCCATACCTCTACCACTTACAAAATTTGATTCAAGATGGTTAAAAGATTTAAATCTAAGGCATGAAACAATAAAAGCCTTGAAGAAAGTGTGGGGGAAATGCTTAAAGATATCAGCCTGGGGAAAGATTTTATGAAGAAGACTTCCATGGCAATTGCAACAACAACAAAAATAAACAAATGAGATTTAATTAAACTGAAAAAATTCTGCACAGCTAAGGAAACAACAACCAGAGCAAACAGACAACCTTCACAATGGGAAAAGATATTTGCATATTATGAATCAGATGGAAGCTTGATAACTAGGATCTATAGAGAATTCAAATTAATCAACAACCCCCCCCCCAATAATCCCATATATCACTGGGCAAGAGAGATGAATAGAACCTTCTCTAAAGAAGACAGAAGAATGGCTAACAAACATATGAAAAATGCTCATTGTCCCTAATTATCAGAGAAATACAAATCAAAACTACCCTGAGATATCACCTAACCCTCATGGGAATGGCCCACATCACAAAGTCTCAAAACTGCAGATGCTGGCATGGATGTGGAGAGAAGGGAACACTTTTACATTGCTGGTGGCATAGCTAACTACACCAAAATGTGGAAACAGCCTAAATGCTCACCAACCCAGAAATGGATTAACTAGCTATGGTATACCATTCAGCCACTAAAAAAGATGGAGACTTTACATGTTTTGTATTAATCTAGATGGAGGTAGAACACATTCTTTTCAGTAAAGCATCACAAAAATGGAGAAGCAAGAATCCAATGTACTCAATTCTAATTTGAAGGCAGTAGATGAGCTAATACAAGGTAGAGGGTAGGGGAATGAGGGATCGGGGAGAGGGGTGGAGGGAGAGGGATTGAGGGTCACAGTGTATGGCACTGTTGGGGTACACTCTCATACAAATTTGAAATAAAAAAATACATTTAAAAAAACAGCTACCATTACAGTGAAACTATTAGAAGGCGTCAAAATAAAAGTATTTGCCCCTAATCTCTCAGGACAAAAGATGAGCATCAGACTGAAAGCCCTTATCAGTCTTTCAGTTTTGATTCTGATATGAAAATAACATTCTTATCCTCACGGGCTGAATTGTGATGACTTCAACCCAATAGTTCCAGTCCCTGTCTTCAATGTCCTTGCAGCTAAACCACTAGATGTGAAGGTATTCTCTTTTGCAGCTGCTGTTTTAGCTTAATTGAGGCCCTCCTGCTTTCCAGAGTAGAATGCTAACATCCACTCACCCAGCTGGAGGGTTAGGGTGATACCAGATCCAATATTCCCCCAAAGCATGCATAGGCTGGTTGCTGTATCCCTGACTACTGATTAACAATAAGGGAGTCAAATAGCACCTTTTGAACCTTATTTCCTCTGAGAGCCTGTTCTACAAGCATGGGGTCAACTTAAAGGAAGCAAGGTTTTGTTTAATATTTTCTCCTTTCATTAGTGCACTTAAATTACTTTCTTGTAAACTCTGCTTGTTACCTAAATGTACTAGCACTTTTGTTACCTAATTAACTTTCTTATCAGAATTCCAACCAAAAATAACAAAAAATGTAATAATGATAAGGTATCCTGCCCCCTCAAAACAGATTTCTTTTAGGGCTTTATCTCTCAGTACCGTTCTGGCTTGTTTAATTAAAGTATCAGAAATTAATAGACTCAAATTATTTCTTGATCTCATGCTCAAATTCTCCTGAAAAACTGCTTCTTCTGCCTCAGTATTTAAACCTTTATCAGTGTGAGGCAGATGATTTTCCACACGTATGCAACTGGGTACATGCAATTCAATATAATTTTAGAGGAAGAGCCTAATTTAGCCTCTAAGTAATTAAACAAACAAATCAGTTTTGGCTATGCTGAGTTCCTATGAAGGTTTAAAGACTCACTCATGTCTCCTCTTGTGTGCTCCTGGGTCATCACAACATTAATGTGCAAAAAACCTTACGAAATTTTGGCATGGGGATGTGAAATTCAAAGCTGTGATCTTACTCATTTTTTTCATTAGAAGGATGTGGGTTAAAAATTTACCCAGTTCAAGCCACTAGCAAATGTTGCACAGCAGGAGGGTAGACATGTCTGTTGCAGACTTCACAATAACTGACGAGGAGATACCTTTCAATTACAGCTTGGTGGAAGAGAAAACTGTAAGTCATATTGGTTATCTCTCTTCATCACACTCTGAGAAAAAGAATCAGGTTGGAATCTGCTTGTTTCTGGTGGAGCTGTGTGAGAGGTTCACTTTCTTTGAAGTTGTCTGCAACATGATCCCCTTTTGCACTGTCAAGCTTGGCTACCCCAACCACCAGGCTGCCATTTTGAACTTGTGTTTTATTGGAACTTCAATACTTACCCCTGTGATTGCTGGATGGCTTGCCGATGTATACGTGAGAAGGAACAAACTGGTATACTCCTGTTTATTTCTACATTTTCTAGGTGAGTGTCTTCTGCCAAGTGGATTGTTTTTACAACTTACTTGAATAGACTTTTGTTAGAATGCTTAGTTTATATTATTCCCACCCTGCTCTGAGCATAAGAGGTGATAAATGAAGTAAGATTGTTGTTTTAATTAATTTCATTCTCTTTATTATTTGAAGAATGGTAATGAGTATGTGTGCATGTGTTAGAAAATGCTTTAATACCTATATTATTGCACTTATTATATTTTACAATAATTATTTCTTTACACATCTACATTCTCTGTACTCCTTAGGATGCCCTCTTTCCCCCACGTTTACTCCAAGCCCAAATTCGTGACAAATACCCTGTGAAACCTGAAATGTATTTGCTTCACAACTAAGCCGAAATGTGCTAAAAAGGGTTTTGAAGTTCATGTAGAATAATTGAAAAATGTCTTTATCAAATGGTGGTCTTTAATTAGTCATATTGTAATTAAGATTGCATATGAAGGCATGGCCTCTGAATTATTAACTATGGTTACACGCTTCTACAAATGAGTGTATTTAGACACTCTATGCTTCTTTGACATAGAAAAAAACAAACATATCTACAAAAGTTTGAGAGGGAGGTGCTTGCCAGACATGTTGGAGAAATATCAAAATAGCTTAATAAGGGTAGGACAGCAAGTTTATGAATAGTCTAGAATTTTAGGCTGAAAGTTTCAAGTTATTCTTCTTAGATAACAAGAAGTCTCTGAAGCTACAATGAAATCAAGATTTGAGAAATGCTTTTCTTCAATAACCAGGATGAACAAGTACTCTGAGGGGTTAAACAAAGAGAAACTCGAAGATGATGTACCTAAGCGAGAAAGAAGTGCCAATTCAGGACAGAACATGTGAAAAACTATAAAAGCTCAGCAACTAAAATAAAAGCATAAATACAATAGGGGAACAAAAAATAACTGCAAGTTTCTGAGCTGAGGAACTTGAGAAGGTAGTGTGCAATTCACCAGCAGTGAGAGGTACAACAAGAATGTGTGTGGGTAGGAGGCCCAGTGAAGAAGGGATGGGTAGATACCAGGTACTCAGCGGATTACATGACTTCAGGCAGATAGTAAATTGCCATTTAGGAAATCAATTAGAGTGTGATTCAAACCTGTCAATTTCATCACAAAGTCCTAATAAATAAAAACTAAGTCTCTGTATGGCAAATACTCATTCAATACTCAACAGATAATTATTAACGACTCCATGCCAGGCTTTTAACGATTCCTGTCTGACTCTTTGCCAGGCTTGGAATCAGAGAATGCTTTCCGATAAGGAGACATTCTAGCAAACACCCGAATAATTTGCTCTGCTTCACTGGTAACAGGCCACACCAAGGAGCGTTTGGTAACTTCTTGTTTAACAGGGTAATTCCTATCAGTTGAATTCCCGGTCTAAGCCCCAGGTCAGTGAGCCATCAGAGAAGGACAGAAATCCTGACTTTGGAATTTGGTTAACAAAAGACCAGCCACCAACTCTATATTTCATTTTCTTAGTAAAAATCCCTTGCTTGTATACCCCACTCACAGCTGTCATCAAATCCCAACCAGTCACTAAATACCAGAGGTTCAATCAGAAAGGTCTCTTCTGTCTGAATGGCTACAACCTTAACTCAAAAATGCAGCTTTCTTTTTCTTGACCATTACAACGGCCGACATACTGGGCTGCCAGTGGTCAGTCTCCAGTTCGTATGCTATTCTATCACCAAAACTGACTTCACGAAAAGATAAATCTATATGTTGGCTATCTTATCTAAAAAATAAAATCTAAATGCACTAATTTATCATACAACAACCTTTACGATCTATTTCAGGCTTCCCTTTCCAGACTTCTTCCGTAACATGCAGCCCCAGCTATCCTGAACTTCTTCTTGTCCTACTTCCCTTCCTAATCTCACATACGATCTTCTCTCTGCCTGAAATTGTCACCTTCTCTATCTTTCCACCTCTCATGCAAAATTGGAAAATGCCGTTCTTTCAAGATCCATGTTAACATTTGTTGCTAGCTACTTTGTGCTCAACCACATTCTGATGGTACCTATATGACAGCATTTACCACTTTAAAATATAATTGTCCACCTGCATGTCTGAATTCTCTGTCAAACTCATTAGCTCCTGAAGAGGGGAGGACTCCCACCCCCTGTAGGAAATACAACACATCATTGTGGTCTATACGGAGCTATCAAATGTGGGTATGGTGATTGTGTGACACACACTAGCACACATTATCAGATGTGACATAGATTTGTATTTTTATTGCATTAATTTTATGGTAGATAGAAATAAAGTTTCTAACAAAATCAGTATATTTTGACATTTTCTTAAAAGATGGAAGTAAAATGTCTTTCTAATCTCCACGAGATACTATATAAACTAAAACCGTGTTGTCTTGAATAAGTGGTTGCTGCATGAAAGAATTTCTCTGCTCATTCTCTTTGGCTATCCCTTTATCTAGCCAGACCTCCCCTCACACATCCACACTGGAGAGGACTGAGTGGTATAGAGAGAATAGTTAGTTCCACATCTGGCTAACCTTGAAAGGAAACATTTCAAACTCAATAATTTAAAGGGCCCACCTCAGGGTAAATCAACCTGTCACCAAAGATCTGCACATGGTGAAAGCCTCTGGAGGGGAGATGGAAACGTTACATCCAATTTTTACCTATAAGTGACTTATTATGGTCTAATTGAGAAAACAAGCCACAACAATTATATAAAAATGCATACCAAAAACATTAGTGCCAATTAATAAAACAGGGAACAGAATTGATATGGTGGAGGCATTTTCACTACTCAATTTGGCAAAGCAAAAAAAAAAAAAAACCCAACTTAATTTCAGAAGCTAATATTGATGAAGGCCACCCCTACATTGATGGTAGGAGTTAAATTGTTATATTTTTTATGGTATTAAAAAGCCATAAAAACATGAATGCCTTTGAATATGAACTCAGGGTAAGAAAACAATCAAGGCTATGCACAAAAAATGTGAGGGTATTTTTTCCAGTACTTATTCAAAATATCTGAAAAGTGATGTCCAAGCAAGTTACGGTTAGAATCTCACACCATCGTTGGAAATCATGTTGGAAAAGATAAATGAAAATGTAAAAAAAAAGTTCACATTACTTGGTTGTGATAAAGAGAATCAACAGTGTAATCTCCATTTAAGTAAAACATATCCATACAAGTATGATGTATGGTAAAGATTATCTCTAGGCTGTGGAGATTATGAGCTATTCGTGTTATTCTGGATGCTTTCAAATTTTCTGAAATGAGAATACATTACTTTTTTAATCTAATGGGGAAAATGATATTTAAAAAAACTGATGATTTGACCACTTGATGGTAGGAAGTTGGAAAAGTGAGAGATTACATCTGGATTACTCTGTACCATTGGGCAACTCATAACCTCACTGAATTATCTTATTTTCTTTCTTTCTTTCTTTCTTTCTTTCTTTCTTTCTTTCTTTCTTTCTTTCTTTCTTTCTTT